CACCACACAACTTGGTGTCATCTGCAAACTTGCTGAGGGTGCACTCGATCCCACTGTCCGTGTCTCCAACAAAGATGTTAAATAACACTGGTCCCAGTACCAACCCTTGAGGAACACCACTCGTCACTGGCCTCCACGTGGACATTGAACCGTTGACCACAACTCTTTGAGTGCGACCATCCAGCCAATTCCTTATCCACCGAGTGGTCCATCCATCAAAACCACATCTTTCCAGTTTAGAGATAGGTAGACAATGTCAGTTGCTCTTCCCCTATCCATCAATGCTGTAACCTCATCATAGAAGGCCACCAAATTAGTCAGGCAGGATTTGCCCTTAGTGAAGCCATGTTGGCTGTCACAAATCACCTTCTTGTTTTCTAAGTGCCTTAGCATAGTTGCCAGGAGGATCTGCTCCATGATCTTGCCAGGCACAGAGGTAAGACTGAGTGGCCTGTAGTTCCCTGGGTCTTCTTTTTTCCCCTTTTTAAAGATGGGGGCTATGTTTCCCTTTTTCCAGTCATTGGGAACTTCACCAGATTGCCAATGACTTCTGAAATATGATGGATAGTGGCTTAGTAACTTCATTTGCCAGTTCCCTCAGGACCTGCGGATGCATCTCATCTGATCCCATGGAGTTGTCCACCTTCAGGTTCTTTAGATGGTCTCGAACCTGGTCTTCTCCTACATGAGGAAATGGAATGAAGCTGCTTCAGGGAAAGTTCAGGTTGGACATGAGGAAAAGGTTCTTCACTGGGTGGTTGGTCCCTGAAACAGGCTGCTCAGGGAAGTGGTCATGGCACCAAACCTGTCAGAGCTCAAGGAGCATCTGGACTGTGCTCTCAGTCCTGTGATTTAGTGTTAGGTGGTCCTGCGAGGAGCAGGGAGTTGGACTCATGATGTCCCTTCCAAGTTGAGATATTCTGTGATTCTATGTATTAGGCTACATGAACTGAGTAGATGCCTGTATTCACCAGTCTTTCCAATCAGATGGCACGCAGGCCACTGCATTACGGTGGTCACACTGAATTTTCGTTGCCCTACGATGTGGGATACAATTTAGCACTTAAAAGTGTTGTCTAGCCATGAAAGAGTTAAAGGATTAAGTGAAGATTTGCTGAATGCAAAAGTATTGTTTCTTTATAGATAATGAGAGAGAATGAAGAAGCCTTAGAAAAATACGTCGAGAGGAGGACAGGCGTCCTTTAAGTCCAAAACATTTGGCTGTTAATCATGAAAGAAGGAGCCAAAGCAAGGACTTCAAAGACTGATAAGGAAAACATCTTGTTATGAGAAAATGTTAATGAGATTGGAAGAATACCACAAATATTAAGTAAGTAAGAAACGGTGATAACTGGGGGAAAGGTAACTCCCACGGAGGGAGATTGCGACCATGCATTCATGAACCACCTACCCTAAACATACCCCAGACCCAAAAGAAAGGAGTGGAGGAAAAGGACTGAGCATGCACAAAGTAATTTACATGTAAAGCGAGAGAAAATGAACCACTTGTTTAAGAGAATAACAATGAATATGTGAATATGCTAATATGAATCATGTGTTTACTGAATTTTAGGTACATGCTGTCTTGGGACAGGCATTCAAACTTGTGCAACTTTGTAATGAAGCAGTACTTTGGCTCAGCGTGTGGATTGGCTTATTGCACACCGGGCGAACAAACGCCAGATTTGGGAAAACAACAGGTCAGCGTCCTCATGTAACAGCAGTACAGTACCAAGATGGCAGAGGCTGAAGCCAACAGAGGAACCAAATAGAAACAGGGCATGAGCAAGACCTTCAACACTGGGAAGCAGACAGGGAGACAGCACTAGTCAGTGGAAGAACCAGGTCATGAGGTCTGGAAGTGGAAAGCAGTTTAAAGAAAGGTAATGAAGAAATAGCCCCAGAGAGATCTGTAACTATTTGCTAACATCAGTCAAGAAAAGTTTCTTGGAATGACTTTCACTGAGCACTGTAGAGAAATTCTCATCCAATTATGGCTGAAATTTTGTAGTCTGGTTCGTGGCTGATGCCATTAGACTTTCTGCGAGGTAACAGTTGTATGCTCCTTTCCCCAGCTAATACCTCAGGAACACAGTGACTCATTTAACTGTATCTGGCAAGAGGGCAGACTCAGATGGTAATTTCCTAAAAGCTTCACAAAAATACAGCCCCAAATTAAAGCTGATCTCATGCTGCAGCTCTGAGGCAATGTCAGACTATGGGCAAGAACTACAAGTAACCAAACTCTGGACTTTCTCCTGCTCATCAGTGTGCAATGAACTCTGCTGCATTTAAAATACAGACATTATCCATGACCAAAATCAAAGCTTTTGGTTGTAATGACTTTTAAGCAATATTGGAAGCTTATTTGCCAATTTTATATGGATAAATCTGTATGGACTTGCTCTACTTTGAAAAACAAAGACCTAAACGACACGTAAAATTGAACCAAGAGGACAGCATTTAAAAAAAAAAAAAATTGCTTTCCTGTGTAACTGTGTAAAAGCCTGGAATTCCGTTAATCATTGCTTTTAAGCACCGCTGCTGTAACAGAGAATCATGGGCAATTCCATTTCAGGCTACTGTAGGTGTGTGGTTTTAAAAGGCAGTCATGGGCAGCATGTACCTCCTGCTTTAGGGAACTTGAAATGGATTGGTATGAAGGGCTAGAAGCATAAATTAGCCTGTTTCTTCCTCACAGCTGCATTTCAGGTCCTAAGAACCCGATCAGGTACAGGAGCTACCACAGGCAAAAGCAGCAGCTTTTTTACTATTAATAAAAAAAGCAATTAGGAGATGATAGCCCTTCACATTCCTGAGAGGTTATGTGGTGAAAAAATTAACACCATCTCCCAACAGAGAATTCCTATAAAGTTAAATCTTTTAAAAGGATTTTCCACTGCTGTCAGACTAGGAAAGGTGACTTTTGAATTCCAGTTCACGAAGAGCATCTATGACTACCCAGTTATTTTCAGTCCTTGTACATGTTACAGTGAGTTGTCTCACAGAGGTATTCAAGTGTAAGAGATCAGTTCTCAAAAGCAGAAATATTTGGAGGGTCTTATTCCCCCTTCCTTATTGCCATGTTGATTTTCAAAACCCAGAATCCCCTCAAAGAGAGGGCAACAATAAAAGAGTGCGAACTCAATCCCAATAAAGAAATTGATATTTTATTTAAAACTGAAGTCTAGTAAATTTTGCCTGTAAAAACAAGTATTTACAATATTGTGTCAATACAGCTAGTTTCACCACTGGTAACATTCATGCTGATGCTTCAGTTCTGAAAAGCCTTTTTTGCTTCTTTCTCTGAATTTTGCGTGGCTTCTTTTTATCTTTAACAATTGGCTTTGACTCTGGTTTCACATATTGTATTTCCACTGGCTTTTCTTCAGCTGGAGTTTCAAAGACCACTTCAGTGGGATCTTCTTCAATAAGCACCTTACTCCCTTTTTTCTTAATATTTTGTACTTCCTTCACTTGCTGTTTCTCTCTCAACTTAGCTGCCACTGACAATCTAATCAGCCGTCGATGCTACAAAAACAAGAATTTAAATGACATCAGGTTTCAAATAAGCAAGACGGAAGAAATCAAGTATTAGAGAAACAGGTGGCTATTTCTCTGCTTAACTGTCAAAACCCTCAGTGTAACACCGTCTTTTCAGTGACATGAATTTGCATTAATTCCACTTTTACAAAATTAATCTGTTCTCAAATTGTTATTGGTTAAGGCACTCTTCTCTACTAAGGGTCCCAGGGAAAGGCATACATGATTCTCCTGCACAGATGGACTGCAAGATCGATTCTCAAATTAGTTCCTAAATGAAAGAGAAGACAAAGACAAAGCTGCTTACCATATTTGGGGACTGGTAATGGGGGTTTTCATACAGAGTTGGTCCTCCAAAGCTACCTTGGAAGATTTTTATGAGGTTCAGGACAAAACGAGGCCCAATTTCTACTAGAGACGCATCTTCTTCTATGATCTGCAAGAAAAATGACACTCTTCATTTTTCATGGATCGAATCAAAGTATATGACCTTGCAGGCACCTTGCATACGGTGATACACACCTGAATTTAAAACCAAGACATCATGCCACTGAAGCTGATAAGCTAGACTTGTATAACACAATTCTGTATATAAATCAGTTCTTTTAGGTTCAAGTGAGCACTTAGAGAGCACTAGGTATCTGTGAATTCCTCCTTTAGAAAGTAAGCTCCAGCACACTTTGGGTCAAGCAGCAAGTAAGGTTAAAAGGCAAGCAAAGCTTAGGCTTTGGCTAGTACTTCCCATTGCTGAAACAACCATCACAGAATCACAACTAACAGAACACAAGTTGAAGTACACAGAATTTAAACCAGCTCTCTCCAGAGATATGGGAGAACATAAGTCATTTTAGGACAACGAAATTACTTTGTGCAAGCACTAGGCGTTGGCATATCCTGATAACGATTCTTCTCCTTTTACTGTAATTAATGGATTTGATAGGAAATTACTCCACTGAGCACCTCCTGAAGAACTAAGAGAGACGACTAACCTGGTAGTTCCGAAACCAGATCCTCTCGTCCGTAATGGTGAAGGTGAAAACATGATCCACAAAAGGCTGGCTTTTGGGGTGATACTGTGGTGTACTAAATATCTGTAATGAAAGGCAGTTCTTCTAAATGGCTGTAATTTAACAGTCCAAACATAAATGGCTCATTTTTAATTCATTTTAATTTACTAAGATCCCAATCCCAGGTTACATTTCAAAACTCAAAACTGAAGAACAAGTGTCCCAGTGATTTTAAGTATATGACCCTAATCCTTTGAAAATTTTTTACAAGTCCTGAAGTGCAAAACTACTGCTTAAAAAATAGCTTGAGATCTTCAAATATGTTCCCAAAAAAACATTTCCAATGAGGAAGAAGCACTGGACAGCAGAACTACAGACTGACCTGAATAAACAATTCTTTTAGTAGGGCATAGTGTGGCTCCTTGTCAAATGTCTACAAAGAAAAAATGTAATTTTATATACAAAGCTAAACGCAATAGTCATGCAAAGAAAACAAAAGGATACTCAATGAAATAAAAACTATACTTACTGGATCAAAAGACAAAAGCGGCCGTGAGCCCCTTAGGCAGTTTCCCGTCATCTTCAATTCAGCCAGTGTGTGAACTACAGTGATTTGTTTTTCAAAAGATCATTTTAGTACTTACAGAAAAACATACAGACAAGAAAGCAAGAGTCCCAACACGATAATGTCATCTAACTTACCGTTCTGCACTAAGAACTTAGCTGATGGTCCCTGTGGTGTATTTGAAAGCCTGCAGAGGACAGGTAGGAGGGAAGAGAGAAAATAAAAACATTAACAGCAGCCAGAAGGAATGCTGGATTTCTGTAGTACACTCCAACCAATTATTTCTGTATTGAACGAATTTCAGTCGCTCTTATAGCACTATTGAGTTCCTTTAACATAGTTACACCCACTGCTTTCTGAACAGTTTTGTAAAATCCTTCTGTAAACAGTCTGTAAAAGCTGGTCATGCACTTGTACTACCCACAGAAGTGCAAGGTTAGTACAGATTTAACTAAGCAACACTATTCCAATCTTCACTATTGCAGTAAGAAAACAGACAGAACAGAAGCATCTCCAGCTATATACGGAAATGTAAGAAAACACGACATTTCCTTACCACATATAGAGATCCTGTTTCTTTTTGGCTTCAAAAAATATGCACTTACTGCAGTTTTTCATTTCACACACCTACACAAGACAAGCCAAATTAGCTGTTTGCAAAATTCTGAAGACATTTTCAAACACTTTCCACATTAATCTAGTATCTTCCCCCCTTCAAAAGCAAATGTCTCATCTTAATAAATTACACCTACTAATCCCTAAACTTAAGTTGAAGCATTTGTAGAAAAATCTCACGTATTTATTACCACGAGTAATAACTTCACTAAAGCTACAGGCAATCTGATAAGCTCTCCAGGATATAAACATTACAGCAGGAGCTGTGACATTAGGTTCTAGTTTCAGAATTACCAATGTTCTACTACACTGTGGGGCCTGGCTGTGTATTTGTTCCCTGCTTTAAGTATAAACTGTAATACACCTTTCACCTATAGGGGAAGGAACATTCCATTTTATTTCTTCATGACAAAAGCCTATGTTTAATTAAAGGTTTCGTTTTGGTTTTATTAGTCAAAAGTCAACTTCCTGTTTCAACATGAGCACTTCTCACATATCAGTAATTTTCATCTATGAAGTTAAACAACTCCTATAACCCGTATGAGATCCTTTGAACCTGGTTGCCCGTCTCTCTTGTACACTGAATTCCCAGAGAAAATTAAAAAGAAGCACTACTTAAGTCCTGGATTACCTCATTAATAACGAACAACTGATCTTTACGGTCCATTTTAGTATCTGGAAGAGAAGAACAATATTTAGAAGGCTGGAAAAACAATTCAACACATGAGGTTTTTGTAACAGTCAGTCCTTTGCAAAAAATTTACTCAGTATAACAACTATCAATTCTTTTCAGCAACGTTATACAATAAACAAATACAGCAACAAAAGTATCACTGAATCATCACAGAATGGTTTGGGCTGGAAGGGACCTTAAAGATCATCTAGTCCCAACCGCCCTGCCACAGGCAGGGACACCTCCACTAGATGAGGTTGCTCAAAGCCTCATCCAACCTGGCCTTGAACACTTCCAGGGATGGGGCAGCCACAGCTCCTCTGGGGAACCTGTTCCAGTGCTTCACCACCATCAGAGTGAAGAATTTCTTCCTTATATCTAATCTAAATCTGCCCTCTTTCAGTTTAAATCCATTGCCCCTTGTCCTATTGTCCTGGTTTTAGCTGGGACAGGATTAGCTCTTCTTTTTAGCAGCTAGAAGAGCTCCGTGTTTTGGTTTTACTCAGGGGCTCGCTCTGAGAAGAATGCTGATAGTGCACTGATGTTTGTGGTTGGCACTGAGGTCTCAAGGACTTTTCAGCTTGCTGTGTTCTTGCCCGTGTGGAGGAGCACAACAGGATAAGGGGGGAGCATGGCCGAGACAAGGGGTCCATGACTCTCCTTACGATTTGTACCTGAACTTAAGATTGAGGGCCAAACTGGCCAATTAGTATTCCATATCATGCAGTGTCATGCCCAGTATAAAAGTGAGGGTCAGCA